TTTTATGGTCTCAGTTTGTATTTTATGTTCCACTGTGTTGTAAACACCGAAAATCCCCAGTTAATCAACATACCTCTGTTGCTATAGTTTCTCCATTGACAAGGAGGTTCTGAATGGCTTCGTAGGAACCCTATAGCAACAGAGGTATGTTGATTAACTGGGGATATTCGGTGTTTACAATACAGTGGAAGACACAGCAAAATTATGCATAAAGCTACCACTGTGTTATACAGCCCAAGCTTTTCATGGAGACTGACAAAAAGGACATGTTCAAAGTAGACACAAAGCTAGCAGAGGCCTAAAATGTGGCTAGAATCCGCTACAGAGAGTACCAAGCCGACACAGAGGCTCGGCAGACTCAGCTGGTTCCCGTGTATTCGCACATGCGCAGTGCTTATTAGCGGTGTGCTGCGTGACCTTTAACCCGGTACGATGTATGTACATACTTAACGAGACTCATTGTTTTCCCCGCCTGAGTAATTACAACGCTGTCACGTGCGGGTGGTTTATCTTTCATAGACACCTCCTTTCAGGTGTCTATTGGCGTTTGCAGGTGGTCTACAGCAAATTCCCCGTACAAAACAGCTATTGTCAAAAGTCGGTTGAACACACTGACAAGTGTGCATATGCAAACGTTTGTCCCATGGAGTCACATGCAGTGCCATGCAAATCATGATTTCACTCTGTCTCTCTCCTTCCTGGTCTGCAAGTGCAACTAATCACATTCTCACACCTTTTTAAGTGAATTTATACTGTGCAACACAGTGTGAATGTATTAAAACATCTAGTCACACCATCTGCTCTTTAGGTGTATCAGAATTAACTGCATCCAATCCATGAATCGTGCAAACGCTGCTGTCGCCTGATTTTTAAAATCATGAAGAACCGCTTATGTGTCATTATAGGAGTAATTGCAGACATTATGAGGTTAAAGAAAAGCACTCGAGAGGTTGTTGCCCAATTGGATTTTTAGCAAAGTAAAACCGAGCAGACAAATTGATAGGACAGTATCAGCAAAAGTATGGATAAAGCTACCACTGTGTTATACAGCCCAAGCTTTTGACAAAAAGGACATGTTCAAAGTAGACACAAACCTAGCAGAGGCCTAAAAATGTGGCTAGAAACCCCTACAGAGAGTACCTAGGTGTGTGTCTAACAATCACAAACAATCCGCATTTGACAAGTGTGCATATGCGAACGTTTGTCCCGTGATCTGTGAGTCACATGCAGTGCCATGCAAATCATGATTTCACTCTGTCTCACTCCTTCCTGGTCTGCAAGTGCAACTAATCACATTCTCACACCTTTTAAAGTGAATTTATACTGTGCAACACAGTGTGAATGTATTAAAACATCTAGTCGCACCATCTGCTCTTTAGGTGTATCAGAATTAACTGCATCCAATCCATGAATCGTGCAAATGCTGCTGTCGCCTGATTTTTAAAATCTTGAAGAACCGCTTATGTGTAGTCTAAGAAAATAAACGCATACAAATAGCCCAGCCCATCAATTAGCAGTATTGCGCATGCGCAGTTCGCCGAAAGTTTGCACTTCAGTGCTTTTCATTCAGACAGCAGCTGTGCAATGGTCTGTGGTGGAGTGCACATATCAGATACATGCACTGTGGTCCAGGCTTGTCTGGGGTGGATCTTGCTGCTACATCAAAAGATCAAAGGGAATACCTGGAACCAGGCTATAACAGAATTCACTGCATCCAATCCATGAATCGTGCAAGCACTGTTGTCGCCTGATTTTTAAAATCACAGTGAAAGAAGAACCGCTTATGTGTGGTCTAAGCTGGCAGCCTTGTGACAGCAGGTGGTCTACGCTTGACACCTTGTGAATAATAACTGCTATTGGATATTGCATAACAGCAGAAATAATACAAGAAACAAAATGGAACAATGAAGATACAAAACTATTGGGGAGAACTAATAAGATCAAATGTTTGAACTCTATCGTTTCCAGAGTCACATACATACAGTTTGCCTTTACGAGATGTCATACAATATGGTGAATGCAGCTTACCAACTCTTAGACCGTGTGACCCAAGAGTGGTAACAAAATCACCTAATGTTGTGTAAACTACAATGCGATCATTGGCAAAATCAGATATGTACACTATGTTTTTGTCTTTGTCAACATGAAGGCCTGTTGGGAGCCCGATATTTCCTACCCTTTTTTGACCAAACATTCTGATGAATTGGCCATCGGTTTTCATAACTTGTACTCTTCTGTTACCCAACTCAACTATATACATGTTTCCATCATAGTCAAATTTTACATCATATGGGGCATCTAATTCTCCGTTACTGTCCCCATAGGAACCGATGGACTTTACAAAGTGCAAGTGAAGGTCAAATACCTGAATGCGATGGTTATTTCGATCGCACACATACACTTGGTTTTCATACATTGTTATTCCACGTGTATCATTAAACTTCCCTTTCTCATTATGATCCTCATCATCACCAGCCTGGGCCTTTAGTGCACCACTGCTGGTGTACTTCTGCAGTTTGTGCTTACTTGTCACATAAATATTGTCATCACTATCAGTCGCTATATCTGCAGGTTGTAATACATCCTTAATTAAAGGGGTTTGGTTAAATTTGTCTTCAATACAGAAGATTGCGCTTTTATCCCATCCACTGACAATCATCTTCTCTGATTGTTTGAAAAAAGCCACCCCATATGGCCTGCCCACTATAGCCACAATTGTGTCTGACTGTAGGGTATAATAGATAAGTCAGGTGATGCAAATTAATTGTAGAGAGTTTTATGTTACCTGGGAACTGGGAGTTTGTAGCTGTTGTTCCTGCAGTAAATATTATATAATTATTTTGTCTTTCGCGCTCATGTAGCTTACTTGAACTTTGTCCAGGTTCTCCCGAGCCAGTGCAACTTCTCTTTCTGTGCGTATTAAATCCGCTTTCTGAAATTACGAAAACTACGTCATTTTTATTCTAGACATTAAACAATTTTCACCTTTTGCTCAAGTTGCTGCCTGGCCCTCTCTTCTAGCTCTCCTTTTGGCTTTTTATTCTTGTAGGATTGGGGCTGTTCCTCCTATTTAAGTAAAAAGAGAGTCACTTCATTTCCGGTCTACTTAAATATGGTTTTAGACCCAGTCAGTCTTACTACTTACAATATCGCATGCAAGATTAACATGCTGCCGCTTCCTTTTGACACTTTTCCCTGATGATGTCATTCCAGCATCTCTTCTCTTTGGCAGACTTACACTGGACTGGTAAAACAAAAAAACACCATTATTTTTTTGCCATCATAAAATTAATATCATCCACATGGCTGTTTTACCTGTGTCTCTGAGAATACATGCATTAGGAGTGCAGCAGTCTCTTCTGCCAATGATTTGAGCTCTATCTCTCTCAGCACAGTAATGAGAGTGGCCCAGGTTTGTGGTGTCCTCCCAGTTCCTTCCAACCATCTCTGGAGGATAGCTTTTGTGATTCTATTCTGGTCTGGTGCGTACTGGGCCTCAATGTTGCTAGTTATTGCTCCAGTATCATCATTGAGTAGACATATACCAAGATCGTGATTTTTTACCCCAATTCTCTCAATTATTCTGACACTTCCAAATGCAGTGGTTAAGGTTTGAAGCCGTGGAAGAGTTGGTTGATAGGAAAAGTGAGGTGAGTTATATAACCTTGGAATTTCAATTAGGGGCTCTGAATGGATTCTGACAGGTTCATTCTCATGCTGTTTGGGCTTGCATTGCAAATAAAAGGAGCTCAATGACCCCCCAGTTATGGGAATACTTACCCTTTCTTCTTTTGGAATTCCACTGCCTTTCCACTCCATGCACAAAATAATTTTTGGGCAAGATATTCCAGGCACAGGCACATATGTATTAATGTCAAGAGTTTTTATTTCTGCTGGTTCAAAGTGCGATGTAACACGCCATCCCTCGGACATTTTAGGTAGAGAGAGAACAATTGATTCAGTTGTAGACTCGCATGAGATTGGTATATCCTCCACTCTAGTGTGTGCGATTGTCTGTTTCACGGCTGCTATGTGTGTTGGAAGATTTTTCGTCACCACAAATGTTGCTGTATTGTCATTGTGGTAAAAAATACGAACTGAAAGGCGCATTGGTCGATTAAACAATAAATTCCACACGATATGGAATAAGCTAAACTTTTTAGTACTTATTTCGCAATAATCTGATTTCAGTGGAAATTCTCCATCATTTAATGGCTCAAACCAGTAAGGAGGCCTATTACGTGCAACCATCAATATCAGTGAATTTTCTTTGTGCAAGATGGCACAATGTTGTATTCTTATTTGGGCAGGAGCAGGCAGTACATTACTTGCTGTGATCCTGTATGTCGCACTGGCTGCTGGCATGAGTCGATACTTTGGTGGCAGGATGCCGAGATGATCAGCGTTAGTGGCGACTGAAACGGATATCTCAATTTCTTCCTTATAACTCGCATCTGGAAAATGCAGACTGATCCCAGCCTCTTCCCATATAAAGTCCATTTTCCCCCCAGTGTACCAAAATGACTGCTTACTAAAAATAGAAACACCTGAAACTACAATCTTTTCCCGATACCTATATACAGAGTAAGAAACCACATAATATCTTCTTAAACATGCATAGTTGGGGCATAACTATACTTACTTGGATATCTGCTGTTCATTTACTTGTGGATGCACTTTCTTAGAGCAATGCTGTGTATGAGAGAGAAATTCACCCAGCTCTCCCAGCCACCCACATCCTCTGTTTTCATAGCGACAAAACACACGAAGTGAATTAACTTGTTTCCTGAAGTACAAGTCCAACATTGTGGTAAAACTTTTTGCCTTGCAGCGTGGACATGCCCCTTCTGCTATCTGTAGTCTGGTAGCTACCTTTTCAGAGAGATGTTTACCACAACATGATGTAAGGTAAGGCTCAAGTGGTACACCAAGTGTCACTGGACAGAGGAAGTCTTTAGATGGCTGCTCAACAAACTGATAATCTTCCTCTTTCTCCGATGATGGCTTGGGTTGACTGACAGATGGTTCGGCTGTATAGTGAGCTTAGATTACACTGACATCCATGCCAAGTGCAATAACTAACCTGAAGGCTTCGATTGGGGAAATGGCTTTGACTTGACTTCCTTATCATCAGCAAAATTATTGGCTGCATAAGCTGTGCATCAGAGGATAGAGATTTAACAATACAACTCAAAGATGAATTGAGAGGATGGTGACATACTGGTAGTCCCAGAACCTTTCTCAGAACCGTCAGTTCTGCAGTACTTCTCCTCCAGCTGAATGGCTAAACCATGGAGTTTGATATATCTTAGAGCCTTCACCACTTTCTGCCAGGAGGCCTCGGAGTCAGAGTCCAGCCAAATGCTCATGGTGTTCAATCGCCGATTTGCAGGCTCAATCTTTTTCACTTCTTTGAAGTCCATTCCAAGCTGTACGGCCATCTCCACCAGTTCTTCCCATGTCAGCCCATTCAACTCTCGTGCGAGACACGCCAACTCGGGTTTGACCACTGACATCATGTGTCATGGGGGAAAAGAAACTATTAGCTTTTGTCTGGATTGTGACTGAAAAGTCTAGTTCATCTAGTCACAGCACACTATGGACTGAGCTGAGCTGGACTGGACTGGACTGGACTGAGGACTGGACTCAAGACAAAAGCCTCTCCTTAAGTATTACAGTCTAGCGGAGTGATTGCAAATTTTGACGAAGCCTCACGTACTATTATTTACACTTCAATCCTATGGAGACCTTACAGAGGTGCATTCCTTAGAATAACTTCTGACAGTGACTCCCTTACACACACTCACTGTACATTCACACATGTACCCAGGCAGACCTCTAGCCACATGACAACTGTGGCGCGCATTGACCTGGCTGTGGCGCGCATTGACCTGGCCTCACTAATACTATCATACATACATTATTGGCTTCTGTGTGTATATAATGTATGTATGATAGTATTAGGTCAATGCGTGCCACAGTTGTCATGTGGCTAGAGGTCTGCCTGGGTACACCTCACACCTCATTGTTTGTTTGTATATGCAAAACAATGAAGAATTTTACACGTGAGAGAGAGTGAGAGGGACAGAGCGAGGGAAGAGAGGGAGGGAGAGAGAGGAGGGAGAGGGAGGAAAAGAAGAATATACAGTGAGTGTGTGTAAGGGAGTTACTCTCAAAGGTTTGTCTAAGGAATGCACCTCTGTAAGGTAGTACGTGAGGCTTCGTCGAAATTTGCAATCACTCTGCTAGACTGTAAAATTTGATAAAGTCAGGTGAGTCAGGTAACACGGTTCCTAGAGCCCCAGATGTAGAAGGAACCTAGAATGGCCGTTCTTGTGAATGTGCACTCCTTCCTTGGTGCATCCGTAGCAGGTTGAAGTCTGCGTCGCCCAACATCCCTCGAGAGCCAACCACCACATCGAAGAGCTTCACCCTGTAGCCAGCCGCTCTCCCAGCATCCACCAGGTCATGACCTTGGGCTGGAAGCTGGCAGAGTGAGAGGTGCAACCCATAGTCCTCTTCCTCGGCCAAAAGAGTCTTAACTGCACCTGTCAAGGCTCTATGACTCTGGGGGTGGTCTTGTATCTGGATAGAGTCCACAAGAACTTACAGTCTAGCCACTCCTTAAGTATTACAGTCTAGCAGAGTGATTGCAAATTTCGACAAAGCCTCACGTACTATTATTTACACTTCAATCCTATGGAGACCTTACAGATGTGTAAATACCTCATTCCTTACACCAACTTCTGACAGTGATTCCCTTCTCTCTCTCTCTTCTTTTTTCTCTCCAAAATACTGTGCATGCGGGTTACCAAAACACAATATGGAGGCCTAACTACACAGACATTGTTATCACATGCATAACTATTGCATGGCGCAAATGAAAGTGTCTGGAGCTAGGGGCAGTAAATGAAGTATAATTAGCTGATTTTATTACGCGTTGTCCATATCTGGTGTGATTGTAAAATGGCTTCTCTACATATTGCCCTAAGTAGTTTCAGCTTCCCTCCCTTGGAGATGGGAAAGATCTTCAAAAGCTGTTCGAAGCCCGTGACATTTACAAAGCCCCTGCTTCCCACCTCCAGTGTGACCAAGCTGGTGATGTAGCCATTGGCCGTGCAGGTCTCCAGCAGGTCTTGGTACTTGTTGGTCTTCCGCTGAGAGGCATCCACAAAGTTCGTCTCAAAGCACACTGTCAGTTCTGACGGTGGGGGAAAAAGAATACAGTTAAAAATATAATACACCGTTGACTATATATGCTCTATGAACTATTTATACAAACACTAGTTGAGAAAATTCTTACTCTACTGAAATTGTTGAACGTCTGAATAAGGGACAATTGGGAATTCTCCTTTACTCAGAGGTGCCCCTTAGTGTACAGGTGCAAAAAAAGCTGAATGCAGGAATTACACCCATATATGGCTGCATTTGTGACTACAGATCCTGTGCTGCGTAGACATCCCAACTATAGTAGCTACTACATTGCTACATGCAGCAAAAACCTTGCAGGGACAATAGTTTAGTAGTATATACCATAACTTACACCGTTGGCAAGTTACAAAAAGCTCTCCAAAAAGAAAAAGCTAATCGAGGCTTCAAAGTGTTTTAAACTGTTTTAGTCCCAAAATATTTGTCACCTTAAAATAACAGAGATCTTAGCTTATAGTATTCAGGGGTGTCAAACTGGCAGTTATATTATACAGCATGTGAGGAAGACCATTGCATTGCAGACTATTCCAGACAAACTTCCCAATTTCCCTCTGCTACCAGCAGTTGTCGCCTATCTTAGGCAAACCTATTGAAACCCCTTTCAGAGTAAGATGAAAAGCACTAACCCTCGGCGAACTACGCATGCGCGGTACCGCTAATGGTGCTATTGGCGTTTATCCGCGGAGAGCCTGACACGGGCTACCCACCACGGTAGTAGATAGCACGCGGGAGTCGATACACGCCCTTCGCTGTGGCTTCTTGTGCCTTCAAGGTGCACAAAGCAAGCGGATCAGGTCGAACATACCCCGTCTAATATACGCATGCGCACCGTTTATTGATGGTTTGGCCTGGGCCACGCAACGCGGTCCGCGACAGTGCCAGTTTGTCGCTCTCGAACGCAGTCGTTTCAAGAAAATCACCGTTTTATTTTCAGGCTCGCGTAGTTCTGAAGCCGCTAGTATCGCTAATGGGCCGCCTCGTAGCCTGTAGTGCTAGAATAGGCGTCGACACACACACACACGCAGACAGACAAACCAATTAACCCTCGCTGCGCATGCGCGCCGAGGGTTAATAACTGCAGTCAGACTGACCCCCTGCAGTAGGGTCACCAGTTGCCACGGTAGTACACACGAAATTTAAAACTTGCCCGTCCTTGCTGCGGCCTCTGGTGCAGTGACGCCCCCATCGGTTACCGTCGTGCTCTCTGCCTCTGTCGCCATGCTCTCTTTACAAGACTGACCCGTCTTCCTGGCACTTCCACTATCAGCCACGCCCACACGAGCTATCTACTACTGCGCATGCGCTAACAATCTGCGGACCTCCCTTCACACATAAAAATTGATTTCTCAGTGTACGACAGAATAAAGTGCATTGTCAGACAGTTGTAAGGAAACACTCGCATATTCTTTCAGATTCACGTTTTGATCAGTAGCAGGCTTCATAACAGCAACTTTTCTGTGCCTGAAAAAAGAGGCAAGTCATAATTCTGCAAAGCTCTGGAATTTAATCCCAGAGAGACAAAACACAAGTCACAATAACATAATGAAAGTAGGTGTAGCGAGGTGTTGGACTCCATTTATGGACACTTAAATGTCTCACCTGGTGTGCAGAATGAAGACAATAAACAGAGTTCCAAGAAGCAGCAGAAGTAAAAACAGAACTGCAACTGCTAAACCAAATCCAACCATAACCCCCTGAGCTCCCCGCACACTGTTGCCACTGTCATCAGTAGATGGGTATACTGGATGTGTAGATGAGTATACTGGATGTGTAGATGAGTATACTGGATGTGTAGAAGAGTATACTGGATGTGTAGAAGAGTATACTGGATGTGTAGAAGAGTATACTGGATGTGTAGAAGAGTATACTGGATGTGTAGATGAGTATACTGAATGTGTAGAAGAGTATACTGGATGTGTAGAAGAGTATACTGGATGTGTAGAAGAGTATACTGGATGTGTAGAGAGTATACTGGATGTGTAGAAGAGTATACTGGATGTGTAGATGAGTATACTGAATGTGTAGAAGAGTATACTGGATGTGTAGAAGAGTATACTGGATGTGTAGAAGAGTATACTGGATGTGTAGAAGAGTATACTGGATGTGTAGATGAGTATACTGAATGTGTAGAAGAGTATACTGGATGTGTAGAAGAGGGCGTGGTAGAGGGTGCTGGATATGGACAGAGATAGAGAGGCCTTGGTTTAATATATCAATTCAGCAGATCCCCATGGAGTGCAAGGGGTTATGCATACGCAAATATCCAGTAGAATAAGAACCAAACTCAGACATTGGATACCAGGGTCCTCTTCCCATAGTTAATTTCCAACTTGAGAGCTTTCACCCATTGGTAGGATGTTGGGTCTAAGGCAGAGCCAGCTTGCACACACAACAATAATTATTATTAATAGATCAACAATTATAGAAGTACATTCCGATATCGTAAAAAATTGCCATAAAGTTGACATTACAAATTATACAAAGTCACATAACAATATTGAAAGTGAACGGTGCACTTCTGTGTAGCATTTAGCACAGACCAGTTCATCAGAGATGACATAAGGGAATTCCAGACGTTGGTACTTGCAGATGTCACAGTGAAATCGAACACTGAAAACGTAGCGGCTTCCTTTTTCAGTCATTTCGATAAATGCAGCCAAGGCGTCCTTGAAAGATAAATGGACTAATTCTGTTCCACGAGAATCATAGAGGTGGTATGCTCCTTCTCTCCCATACATTTCATCCAATTTCTGGGCTAATGCAGCTTGGTCATCGCATTTCTCTGAAACTTTTTCATACTCTACACTAAATTCTTGCAGCTTTTTCAAAAACGGTATCGTTCTGTTGATTCTGGCCTCATCTTCAAGTTGAATGCTACGTTTTGTATCACTGATTTTTTCCTCGGTCTCCTGCATCGTTTGTTTGGCTTTGTCTGCCTCAGATGGTAATTTTCCACCCCTTAATGCCAGACCACAACCCCCAGCCACCGCTGCACCCGCAGCTAACCCAACGATGCCAAATCCCAAAGCACCAACTGCACCTCCCGCAACCGCAGCCGCAGTTACACCGATTTTTACAAGCTGCTGCTTTCGAATAATCTCCCGATAAGTATTTCTAGCTACGGTGAGACGTTGTTGGTAGGCCAGTTCAGCCTTTATCGACCTCTCGTCTTCAGTTTCGAGAGCATAGAACCATTCCACGGCTTTGTATCTTTCCAAGAGTAGGGCTATATCTTGCTTGTGTTCCACAACATATTCTCCAGCTCTAACTAGTGCACTTCTTCCCCCATGAACCTTTTTCTGAGCTGGAAATTCATCCCCTATCAGTTTTATTCTGAATGTAAAAAGTTGAGCTAGTACGGACTTTCTTCTTCAAACAGCATGCCACATTATCTACTTATCATTGATTTGAGGCAAAGGCTCAACTATGTGCGAGGGACATACCATATTTAAATGAACCCTAGGGCCTCCACATTTGTAGTGTCCTGAGAGCAGCAAGGGCACTACGCGGATGGCCCGATGTCATTGAAATCCCGCAGTTCCCGAGTATACACATAGCACTTACCTTTTAGCTGACGATGTTACAAATGAGAGAGGAGCTGACGATGTTGCAATCGAGAGGGGGGCCACCTTCAAAAGGAATAATGCAAAGTTGTAAAATTATTCTATCGGGCAAACTCACTTTATGCTCTGCCAGTGCCTGATACAAACAATCCCCAGCAATCTCTAGCCTGGCAACACCGAACTCCACAAATAAACTCAGAGTTTTATCTCCTTTCCGACTGAGGGCCTTAATGATGGATATTGGAACGAACCATGTGACTATGAACGACCCCGGTCTAATACTGTTCACCATCATGGCACAACGCTCTAGTTTATACAGTTCGCAATAGCGTCTCCTGAACCGTTCGACTTCCTCAAGGGTGACGTATTCCGACCACTTGAATCTGACTACCATATCTCTGAAACCTGGCGGCGGATCAGTTTGCGATGAGAATGGCACGATTTTCGCCTCATAGAACAGCCTCAAGGATGTCGTACTTTTAAACCTTTCAATATCTGTTTTGTATGCAGCCATGTCTTCACTAATAGTCCTGAAACTGTCATACTGAGTAGCGAGGACCTCAATGAGTTGGAACAGTAGGTCATAGGCCAGGTAGTTCCAATAGAAATTCAACCTTCCAAACAATACCCAGTAATTTCGGCACTGTTCCAGGGCTTCAAGGTTCTCTTTAAGAAATACTCCATGCTCATCTAATGCTCTAATTGATGTTAGCCAGAACACCATCGAAGCTACAGTAATCTGGTAGGCTATAAGGGAAGTGATGGTTGCTCTCTTTATGGTGTTGAACTTTCGATGAAATTCGTTCACTTGAGACTGTAGTGCTGATTCTGCTGTGCCTAATCGAATTTCAAAAAGACTAGCTACTATATAAGGTACGAAAGTTTATTCTCACCGGTGGAAGAGGTGGAGGGGTCTGACTCACCACTGTCACTGCATGCTGGTTGTTACACTGCCTCCTGGCGCCATGCCTGAAATGGCAAATTCAGTCTGAAAATTACGTGTATGTAAAGCCAACTTGTTGCCAATTCTAATTGCAGCAACAGGCAAAAAACCTCCTTTAACACCATCTTTGCTTGCAGAAATGTTTTAAGAGGCAGTGTGCATCTTACCAGCATTTCCAGGCACTTCTACATCCGGTGGGTCAGGGAAATGAGCTTCTTCCACTCTCCTAGCCAGTGCCTGAAGGTTGACCGCAGGACTCCTGAGAGCTTTTACAATGACCCTCCATGTCGGGTTGACAGTTCGTTCCAAGAATGTGATAATAACGCGAAGAAGGCTATCGGCTGGCCTGGGGTAAGTACGGTGGATCGCCTCCACTTCGTGATGCGGCAGTTTCAACTGGAGACCGATAGTGAAGGACTCGTTCTGTGCAGGCAGTAGTTCCTCCGCCACTCTTATGGCATCGTCTGGCGTCAGTACTTCGTCCACCACTGGAGCTGTTGGTAGTTACACAGGGAGGTGCGGTAAGCTTCTTTTTACCCGTGAGACATTGATCATACCTTCCGCCATAATGTTTCTTGGAACAATTCGCGAAGGAGTAACTGCGCATGCGCGTGTGTGCCTATATACCTGAGTCTTGTGGGTTTGCAACAAGTTAGTTATACTAATGCAAGACAATGCACTCTGCACTCTCATAAGAGGTCTTCAATGTACCTCTTTGGCATTAACCAAGCATTGAAATGTGTATGTTTTGACACCAAAACACTTAATGTATGTTTAGGAAATAAAAATGGAAGGATGCAATGGGTAAAAATGGATGGAAACAAAGGACAAGCACTGCTGAGGTTCTTTGCCAAGTATTATACCAGCATAATGGTGTGTGCATGTATCTCAATATTTATGCTGCAGATCTTTCAGGTAGTTACAGCCTATTTTATTATAGTGTAAAATGATTATATTATCTTTTTGTAGGCAACAAAGCCTTATGCTTCTGCATTCATAGGCTTGGACAACTATGTAACAATCCACCCAGTAAAGGACTCAGGTAGGCCACTTTTCATAATGTCAGTATATAGGCATTGAATCTCATCTGGACAAAGGAGAGGATGTGGAGAGGACTATGTATTACCATAGCAGTCAAGATTTTTTCAATGTGGGGTTTTACTGCTTTGTTTGGATGACAATCCATGCCGCTGTGCAGAAATACATTTGGAAGGTGTGTGTGTTTGTTTGTGTGCATTTGTGTTGAAGTCGGTCTTTTCTGTGACGCACACAGCGAAACAGTGAAGTGCCTAAACAAACACTTGCCACCAACGGAGACTAGCACATACTACGACTCAGGTTGTCTCGCGGTGTTCTACCTGGTTTTTGTGATATGGGGGCTAGGCATCTTCCTCACCAATGGTGACCCAACTCTTGCAACAACAGACCTTTACACTGAACACTGGCTTGAATATCAGTCAAAAATATTCATGAGGTGTGTGCTTTTGTGTGGAGTCATTTATGAGGCTATTGTTGGTTGGTCTCTCTCAGTCCGTTCCTCAAGCTTTTCATGCTGACTCAAATGGGTTTCTGGGTGCACTGTTACGTATGGTTAACCTTCATGGAGGTAAACAATGTGCCGTTGTTAATCCATGACCTCCACCCAAATTTGTGTGTGTATATATAGGAAAACAAGACCTTCTCAAACATTGTCTTGTACACTCTTTCATTGGTCATTATTGCTGTGAACTATATCATAAGGTAAATAGTACCCTGTCTCTATATATATCTTAGTGAAATAGTACATCCATAAATATTCGAATTTTCATTGCATACAAACGTGTAGCATGGTGTGTATACGATACCCCCTAAAAAGAGGAAGAGCTATAGGGGTGGTATAAAAAGAAGGGAGATAAGCATGGTTTACGAACAGATTGTAGCATGATGCGTGGGGCTAGGGCTACAATCTGTTTGTAAACTGTCAGTTTTTTTCTCGTAGGCCTTCAGTTTGTCCGTTTTTATTTGAGGTTGTCACAGTAAAAGAAGGTAGCTAGAATGCATGCACAGGAAATTGACCTAGCTACATCCTTACTTGACAAGATTAGACAGGATAGGCATATATACCTGCCTTGGGTCATACCTGCTGGCATCTTCTTCCAACCACCTCGTGGAGTAGTGGTAACCCAATTGTTGTGTGGGCAGCTTGGCATGCAGGTGGCTACTATAGAGATGGCAAAAGGGGATTTTCTACTCTGAATGTATGTATGTGTGTTTGTGTAGGATGCAACATGCAATGTTGGTGATGCTAGTGTTCCACTATTCAATGGAGTTCCTCTACCATTTCTCTCGTATCATGCTCTTCCATGGCCAGAGCAGGCTCTCCAGCTTAGCGTAAGGCACAGACACCTGTAATCGTCTTAATTATCCTAATCCATTTTCCCCTGCAGTTTCAATGTGTGCCTACCACTGCAAATCATAGGAATATGTGTTAAAGTAGGGCTAGGGGCTTAGGGGAAGGAAGAAATACATGTTACATTAACTTTTGCAGGCACTGTCATCAGGTGAACTACTCCTTCCTGACTGGAGTGGTGCTTTACCGAGGACTTGGCTGTGGATTGCTCTAACTTTATTTTGCCTGCACCAAAAGATAATTACTTGCATAGTAGCCTCCAGGACCAAAGTCCTATATATAAACTAAGTAAAGAGAACATTCAACCTTGTACTGACCCCACCTTGCACCAGTCATTTTGTCATTCGAAATTTGAAGCACATGCAACCCTGCTGAACATTAAAAGTGCGCATATGCAGACTTCGGCGAACTGGTTTTGTTATGACGAAGGTTTGAGCTAACTTCGTAATAACGGTACTTAGATGGACCCGTGATATTTGTCTTGATCAAACTCATAGACTGCCAGCTACACTAACACAGGTGGACTGGTGGCAGTGCATAGCTGAAGTGATCCATGTTGTGTATAAAACCGGACTGACTTTGTAACGCTGTCAATATTGTCCATGTGTGCGGTTTTAAAGGATTCATGAGTAACTTTGTGAAGTAGGTTGCAGTCAGAACACTTGCATGGTATGTTATTCATAACTTTTCTGGGAAGCTGGAGCAGCCCCTTGTTTAACAACGTTTCACATTCTCTTTTTTGCTGCTTTTGATGGCTGAAGGTAAAAAATGCTGATAGTGAATGTTCATGTGCAGCAGTGGATTAGGAACTCCCTACTAGCGATGCGCGGCCAAATTGCACAAAACAGCACAAAACAAATCCTACGTGCTTGAGAGCATGTTCACACACAATATCGTGTAGACTGCTAAGTCAGAGTAATTATGTGGATACATTTTCTGTCCCAGTGATTCAGGCATGAACACTCAGGCACGTGTGTGTAAGTATAATTATATTGATGAGGGATCATCAGTGCACTTGGTTGCCTTGTAATGCACAACTTTAAGAATGTGCCAGTACATACATAAGGGCTGAATTGGAAACTCTATACTAAAGAACAACTATAGGGATGAGTGCAAGAATGCAATAAGTTTCTGCTGTTAGTAACAGTGTCTATTCCCTTTAACATTAAGATGCCTTCTGCTCAAATTGAGGTATATACCTGTCTCATTGGAGAGTAGTTGTAAGTAGTGTGCTATGTATAGGGTGGAACCTGTGTGTGGTGCCGAAATTCATAGCATAATATACTCTTACTCAGCAGCTATGTATACGAGCTAGTCGTCATTAGATATATATGCTTGTGCCGGGACATGCCCATGCATACCATCAATTTGCAACAAGCAAAAAAACTGGTTATATACCAAAAGGGTAAGCTTTACAACTTAAAGTGAACAATAATATAGCTACACAGGTTTTGGCAATAATTATATTATTATGACAAAATACAGCACAATTTGACCACAGGTTACATACTCATTGCAGTGACTACTGCAGTTATGATACAAAACTCCACTTTTAAAATCTACATTGATCTTCTTGTAGAGCTCTTCCACTGCTTTTACGAGTTGTCCTACTTGCATCACAACATCCTCCCCTGTCCTAATGAGTTCATGTTCATCTATTGTAATGTGCTCATTGCGTACTTCATATAATTCAATATCCTGACTTTCAGCTGAATTTTGTGTCAGCTCTGTTCTGAATTGGGAAATAGAAAAGAAATTGCTCAGTTTTTTTAAGATTACTCCAAAAACAGGACACGAAATGCATCTCTCCTTTGGCAGTAATAACTGTACATCTCTTTTATTTGTACAAGTAAGTAGAGGCTTATGTCATCCTACCTTTCAGTCGATGTTTCATTGGTAAAGGGGAGGAGAGAAGGAGCCACCTAGGGGAAAGGTTATGGTCGTTTTTGTAGAATTTCCGGGTGATTGCTCACTCACTTTTGAAACGATGAGTGGTAGACACAATTCCCAGCTATCTCTAGCCTTGTTACTTCGAACTCCTCAAACAGATTTACTGCTCTGTCAGTCTCCTGACTTAGTAGTCTAATGATGGAAACTGGTATAAACCAAGTGACAACGAATGACCCTGGCATAATGCTGTTCACCATCATAGCACAATCCTCAAGATTGTACTCTCTGGCATAGCGTTTCCGGAACTGCTCAACTTCCTCAAGTGTGACATTTTCCGACCAATTGAATTCACCCACCATCTCCTGGAAACCTGGTGGCGGAGTATCTTGCTGCCGACAAAGGCATGGGCTCAGCCTTACAAAAGACTTTCAAGGGTGTATTTTGTTTAAACTCTTCCAAATCTTTCTTGTATTCAGCTATGACCTCACTATTAGTCCTGAATTCTCTAAACTGAGTAGTGAGGACCTTAAGGAGTTGATGCAACAGGTCGTAGGCCAGGTAGTTCCAATATAAGTTCAACTTTCCAAACAATACCCAGTGATCTGGGTACTGTCCCAGAGCGTTGAGGTTCCCCTCAAGAAATACTCTGTGCTCACCTAATGCTCTGATTGATGTTAGCCAGAAAACCATTGAAGCTACAGTGATCTGGCACGCTATAAGACGTTTTATAGTTGCTTGTTTTATTACATTGAATCTTTGACGAAATGCAAGCACCCGAGATCTCACTTCCTCCATACTTTGATCTACAATAGACAGAGAAAATTACCCCAAATGACTGAGATCTGAATGATAACATACCTGTTTCTACTGCCTCCTCAAGGTGAAGGGGACGAGCTGATTCCACCGTGGCTGCCTCACGGTGATGGGGACGAGCTGATTCCACCGTGGTAGCAAGTGCTGATTGATTTACTGCACGACTCCTTAGAGCTTCGACAATGACCCTCCATGACGGCTTGGGGTCCGTTTGCTTAAAGAACTCGATCAGAATTTGGAGGAGGTGGTTGCGTGGCTTAGAGTAAGTATCGTGGATTCCCTGCACATCGCTCTGGGGTAGTTTGAACTTGAGTCCGAGGGCGTAGGACTCGTTCTGCGCCGGAAGTAGCTCTTCCAGGACTTCGATGGCATCGTCCGGAGTGAGCGTATCGTCTAAAAGCTATGATCGATAGTGAGTTATCAGTTAGAGCTAAGAAACCCATACAGTTTACCTTTGTTCGCCATTAGCTAATGAA